AATAGACTTTTATATATAATAGGTGATCAGCTGTCTAGTAATTTGTTCGAGTTCCTCAGAGGAAAAAGTACCTCTGACTGTATTATTAAATGTCTAGCTAATGATAATGATCATTATAGAATTTTTATTGATTTACATGGAGCTTTGATAAAGCCAACAAAGAGGTTATTTTATATGAACTAGCTGGTCTTGGTATGTATTAACACGATGTACTGAACGGGGTGAGAATAGCTTGAGCTACCTCATCCCTTTGTGTGTATGTTACCTCAATAAACTTATTTCAATTTCAATTTCAATGGTGTTAAAGGGAGATTATTGCGCTGGATAGGGAATTATCTTTACGAAAGGAAGGCTCAGATGTGGTATCAAGGTTGTATGTCAGGTGTGAGGTCTTTTGAACTCGGCACACCTCAGGGAGCAGTGTTGAGTCCCACCCTGTTTAATGTACTAATGAATAAGATAGCATCTGAGAGATACTCAAATGGGATAACTCCGATCATATATGCCGATGATATTTTGTTTCAGGGCAAAGATATTTCAAAGGTTCAAAGGGTGTTGAATAATTTCGAAAACCTGTGTCACCATATGGGACTGGTGGTTAATGAAATAAATAATAAATAAAATAAATATGTTTATTCAGGTAAGGTACATACATACAAGTGATGTTACATTAATGGATTGATATATAGATAGAGCTAGTACATACAATGCCTAAAGCCACTATTACGCAATGCGTTTCGGGCAAGAAAACAAAACTAAGTTTGAATGTAGAAGTCGGAGGCCCATTATATTGAAAATAAACGGTAAAAATATAGAGTTAATATATATAAATATTTAGGCATATTATGTTGGATATACCCATGAGAGTTTGGAAGCTGAGATGAGCAGACTGTTGAGTCAATGTCGGAAGAGATTACAACCTCTGAAGGCCTTGGCATACTGTGGAAAGGGAGTGGGAGTCCCTGTGCTACGAATGATATACTTGAGTACTGTAAGATCTCTTATTGATTATGCTGCACCTGTCATTTCTTGTTTTGGTAAAGGTAGGATGGGCAAGTTGGAAAATGTACAAAATGAAGCTGAGAATTATCTTAGGATGCCCAAGAAATGCTATGATTGAGATAATGAGGATGGAGTTGAATCTGAAGAGTATTGGGGATAGAATTTCAGAGATAAATGTAGCTTCTGCCATTAGATTAATGAGAGGTGGGGGAGCAAATGAATTAATCCTCTCAGTTCAAAAGGTGGGAAGTAATGAACAATGTATAATAAGAGAGCATATATGAGTACCTGTTGTTCTAATGTTATAAAGTATGATGTTTTTGGTATTACTTTTTGTAGATCAAAAGGTATGAAACGTTGATATTTTTGTTCATCAGTCATCATTTTCAACATTCCACTGACAGGTGTTTTTTTCAGGGATATTCCTGCGCGGACCCTAAGCCTCTGGCTGGCCCACTACGTGTTGCTTTTCAAATTCAAGTTCAAGTATGTTTATTGAGACAAGAAAATAATACATCTCAAAGGGATAGAGTAGCTTAGGCTATTTCTACCCTCCTCTACTTCAAGTCCCTCAAGGGGCGCACAAATTCAGTGAGTACAAATACACAAATAACATTACAAGAATCCCATTTAACATTGCAGGATGATTTAGTAAGCACAGCATATAGCTGTTACACTCTTGGGGCAAAATTCTTGTAGCTCCTAAGTATACTGTATATCATACCATTATCACACATCCAAACAATTTGATGTGGTACACTACTTATTTCCTTATTTCTATAATTATCAATAAGTTGACACTAATACATAATGTTCTAAGGTGTGGGCGTGCGGCATACAACATAATTTACACTCTTTATCTTCTTCACTGACATCAACACCGTATTGCCAGATATATTTGTATCAAATTGAATCCTTCCAAGTAGACTTTCCTTTACTATAGGTGAAGGACGAATGTGTATTTATTACTGAATAATTCTTAAGTGTGTTACTACTGTCCACCATTGCCATTCTCTTTATCATTTCTTCACTCTCTTGGATCATCTTGATTCTTGTTTTTATTTGTTTCAAGGTTAACTGACATACAACATCAACAAGAGTTTTTTTCCGTGGCTCTCTTCGCTATCTCATCAACTACTTCATTCAACAGTATTCCCACATGTGAAGGGATCCACATGAATCTTACTTTACACCCAGCTTTTTATAATTTCTTGACATTCTCTCTACACTGTATCACAATATTCTGGTATACTGGGCGTCTGCTATTTAAAGACTAACGCTCCTCTACTGTCAATAAAGAAGCAGGCATTTTTACCACATTTGACTACTTCCTGTAATCCTGCTAATACTCATTGGAGTTCAGCCTGCGTTGAAGAGACATTGTCAGTTAAGCGGCGTCCAATAACAGTATCTACAGTGCCGATGTCAGTGATCAAGACTCCAAATCCTGCCTTCCCATTTTCCCTAACTACTGACCCATCACAATATACATGTAGAGTGTTTTCTGTAGGTAATTTTCTAAGTATACAATCATATGTTGCCCTCAGCTCTAGTATTACATACATACTTTTTTCTTTTGCAAGAGAATAATTACTACATCTACATTACAATCTTCCCATGGTGGTGTGAATTGTCTCAGGCAAAGCAATACACTCTAATAACATCATTCTATATAACACTAGAACATAAGGTACTCATATATGCTCTCTTATTATACTTTAACATACATTGTTCATTACTTCCCACCTTTTGAACTGAGAGGATTAATTCATTAGCTCCCCCACCTCTCATTAATCTAATGGCAGAAGCTACATTTATCTCTGAAATTCTATCCCCAATACTCTTCAGATTCAACTCCATCCTCATTATCTCAATCATAGCATTTCTTGGGCAACTTAAGATAATTCTCATAGCTTCATCTTGTACATTTTCCAACTTGCCCATCCTACCTTTACCAAAACAAGAAATGACAGGTGCAGCATAACACTTATATGCTGTGCTTACTATATTAACCTGCAATGTTAAATGGGATTCTTGTATTGTGATTTGTGTATTTGTACTCACTGAATTTGTGCGCCCCTTGAGGGACTTGAAGTAGAGGGAGGGTAGAAATAGCCTAAGCCACTCTATCCCTTTGAGATGTATTTTTTCTTGTCTCAATAAACATACTTTAACTTGAATTTGAAAAGCAACAAGTAGTGGGCCAGCCAGTGGCTTAGAGTCCGCGAGGAATATCCCTGAAAAAAGCACCTGTCAGTGGAATGTTGAAAATGATGACTGATGAACAAAAATATCAACGTTTCATACCTTTTGATCTATAAAAAGTCATACCAAAAACTAATTTAATGTAACCTCGCCTATGCCCAAATAAGTAATCCGAGGCCTAATCCGAATTCTTTATATATTAAGCCTAAGAATGATAACGTTGGACAATATGAATATATATATATATATATATATATATATATATATATATATATATATATATATATATATATATATATATATATATATATATATATATATATATATATATATATGTTTTTAATTTATTCTGAAATTTTGAGTGACACATTTCCTGAACATCTGAAGCAAGAGTTGGTATAAATCAATCAATCAATCAATCGAGATGGTATAAAAAGGGAGGGTCTAATAAGGTGTTAAGTACATCAACACACAAAAGAACGCGAAACAATGGACATATATGGGGGTCGAAGGTATTTTAACAAAATATCTATTGGTCCGTCCCCACTCACAGGATGGGCGTGGGGTCCACCACCGCTCACAGAATGGGCGTGGGGTCCACCACCGCTCACAGAATGGGCGTGGGGTCCACCACAGCTCACAGAATGGACATGGGGTCCACCACCGCTCACAGAATGACCGTGGGGTCCACCACCACTCACAGAATGACCGTGGGGTCCACCACCGCTCACAGAATGAGCGTGGGGTCCACCACCACTCACAGAATGAGCGTGGGGTCCACCACCACTCACAGAATGAACGTGGGGTCCACCACCACTCACAGAATGAGCGTGGGGTCCACCACCACTCACAGAATGAGCGTGGGGTCCACTACCACTCACAGAATGACCGTGGGGTCCACTACCACTCACAGAATGAGCGTGGGGTCCACCACCACTCACAGAATGAACGTGGGGTCCACCACAACTCACAGAATGAACGTGGGGTCCACCACCACTCACAGAATGAACGTGGGGTCCACCACCACTCACACAAGGATGGGTACTCAGCATATAATAATCAATTATACACAGATATGTTACTAACTCAGCGCATGGCATGAATTTTGTATATCAGTGTCCGGGACAGGAAGCGTGTTACACTTTATCACTCTCCGGAATCAAGGCCAAGTCTGGCCTTACAGAGCGGTCACCCATCTGGTTGCTGGCCATACACAATGGTGTTGAACCCGGCCGAGCCACAGACACGCATTGTTTTACTTTGAAATACTTAAGAAACACCTCATATCCACTAGCTCTTGATGTGGGGAAGCCCGTATACATTTTCCAACGTCTCATGTATATAATAATTAGAAACCCTAGTCGGGTTCATGGATATATATAGTTTATTGTTTAGAATTTATATTGTCGACATAATTTTATTACGAGCTGCGTTATGTATTTGTAGTTTAGACTGGGTGGCATGATAGGCTAGTATGAATTAAGGAGCCATGCAGGCTGCTCTATCCTTCCTATGTACATAATAACTGAAATTGTATATGGGAACTGTTGCTACGTGAAAACCAGGAATATACTTTAAATCAATTGCAAAACCATGAATTTTATTCGTCTCATGCTAGGAAAAAAAATCTAGGAACATAATAGTTCAACAAGGCTGATTAGTAAAGCAAAAATAAGTGCTTAATAAGTTTGGCGGGAATATTAGGAGCAATTGGCGGGGAAATTCGGGAGTTTTGTACGAATCGCCAGCAGCGGGGCATTCAAACCTCGCCCACCAACGTCTGTGATTGGCCGCCCACCCCGAATCTTCCTATCCCATTGGCCAGTTTAAAACTGACGTCATAGGAGCGGGCCAGTAAAAAAAGACGCTCTGCGCGCGCCAGGGGTAACAGTTGTGATAGTGCAGTGGCAGTGAGTGCAGGCGCCATGGTGAGTCCTTGCGAGTTTTTATGAGAGATACGAGTGCTATGTGAGTGGAACCTTCACGGGCGTGGAGGAGGAGGTGCGGGGCGTCGACTGGCCAAGTTTGAAGGCTCAACTCGTGGTTTTAACGTGTAAAATGTTGGTTTGTTTCAGGCAGGAGGTAAAGCAGGCAAGGACTCCGGCAAGGCTAAAGCCAAGGCTGTCTCGCGCTCGGCCCGGGCGGGGCTTCAGGTTAGTTATTGATCTCTGCCGCCACTTTCAAGCCCATTTTGGCCCTAACTTGATATATGTTGCATGTTGTGTGGAGTAGTGGAGGTGATATAAGGTAAAGGCGGCGGGTGACGTTTAAGATGGCGGCGTGGGAGCCAGGGCAGCCAACCTTGTGGTGTTAACTGGTGGTGGTGCCTTGTGTTTCAGTTCCCCGTGGGGCGTATCCACCGGCACCTGAAGAACAGGACGACGAGCCACGGGCGTGTGGGCGCCACCGCTGCCGTCTACAGCGCCGCCATCCTCGAGTACCTGACGGCCGAGGTGAGTCCTCCACGTGAGCCGCCACGGTTGGTACTCCTGTACACCCCCCCTCCCCCCTGGCGGCTCCCACTAGGCCTACTTTACTCTATTATTTATTTTAAAGTTTTATATTGTGTGTTGGTGGCGGGGTGGAGGCGGGAGGCGGCGGCGGCGGCGGGCAGTTTGAAGAGGGAGCGGCGGCGGCCATTGTCCCGGGTCGCCGCCGCGCTGACGCCGCCGCCGCCGCAGGTTTTAGCGGGAAAATGTGAAGATGGAGATTGAGTGTGGAGCCTCCAGCCGCCTCCTGGAGCCTCCAGCAGCGTCTAGGTGCCTTCAGCAGCCTCCTGGAGTCTCCAGCAGCCTCTAGGAGGTGCTGGGGCGCCTTGCTGGTGGTGGCCAGGGGCTCCCCCGCTCCAGCAGGGGTCGCTGGGACACTGGGGTCACGCGTGGCGGGGGTTGCTGGGGTCAGCTTGGCTCCCCAGGCATACAAAATGGAGTTGACTGACTGTAGCGGCCACTGGCTACTGCGGCCACATGCTCCTCCCGCAACTACGGCATTAACAAAGCTAAGACTTGATAAAGAGCTTCCGGCTTGTCGCTCTTTGATAATTTGATAGAGGTTGAGGTATTCACGTCTTGCCATTTGCTTGCTTAGTGTAAGGACTTGGTGAATAACTAACTCTACAATGTCCAAACACCGTAAATTTATTTGATTTAAATCTAAAATTCTCGCGTTTGCATGGTGATAAAGATGCTGTGTAAGCCTACTTCCTTTTTATCAAAGTGGTATTAAATATTTTTAGATGAGCACAAGAAAGCAGTTTAGAACTGTACAATTTATTGGCAAGCGTGGCAGTGAGTTACTGCTTACACCGGGCACCTAATTGTACATTATTCATCTGTTAACAGCATCTGTCCTTGATGCTATTTATCTAAAGGGTTGGGGGAATATTTCATATCTTACAGGACTTGTAATTACAGTTCAGTGAAACTTGTCGTAGTAATGTGAGCATGTTAACTGGGAGACCTTTACCTCTGATGTTCTTTGGCTTTCTTACGCATGTTAGACTCCATTTGAATCATGCCGTTCAGTTTGTCAAGGTGCTGTGTAAAGGACCTGGCCACCTGCTTGTGCAGAGGATGTTGACAAGGATGGTCCACAATCTGGAAGACTTCTTTGAGAATTATCAACTTTGTTTTACTCTTAGAGGTGGACAGGAATGCATGATTGTGGGTGAAAAGGTGTGGTTAGGGATAGTGTGATGGTGATGAACTTCATAGGATAGACGAGTCCTTGGTGGTGTTGTAATTTGGGATCTGGCTCGAGGAATAGATTACTGGGCGGCATAATCCCAGCATGGGCTGGGCCAGTAGGTGAGCAAGTTTAGTTGGGATGACTGGGAAGTGCCTCGCATGGTCCAGTAGGTTTTGTGCAGGTTCATCTAACACTGTTGTATATTACAGTATTTGAATACAGGTGAAAAATTTTCCTACTGCTAATGCACTTCCTATCTGTCTTTTAGTTTTAAATTACCTTTTAAATTGGAGATTGTAGGCAAAGAGAAATGCACTTATTGTGTATGCTGTAATTTGAGAAGAGGGTAAGGTAATTCAATAAGTCATTGGGAAGCATAGATGAAATTTCAGAATTAAGAGACTTTGATTTTCGATGCTGCATTTTTGGCTGGAGAATGTTTATTTTCAAAACTATTTGGAGTCCTTACTTACTAATTTGTTAACTTGTTATCCACCTTTGATGAAATGTTAAAATACACACTTTACAAAAGTAACCAAAGGAAATGCATTTTTTCTTTATTATATAGATTCTCATGTTTCCAATGATACAATATTTGTTCAAACTCAAATGGGGCGAGGGTTAAACTCGTCATAGTAAAAGTGCTCACATTTTGCAGGCTGAATTTAAAATGCAAAGAAGTATTAATGAAAACATTTTCAGGGTAAATAGTGTTCAGAACTCTTAAATGAGGTCCTCAGTTAAGCAATAACTTCTGAATGCATAATTTTTTTTTTTCTTCTAGCTTAATGTCTAGGTATTTAACAATTTTCATTGTTTTCAAACCTCTTAACCATTTTTCAAAACCCTAAACATAATTCAAGAGTGGAGAGTAGATGTTTTACCATTCATTTTGAAATCTTGGACTTCATTCATTGATTTTACCATGTTCTTGACTTGACAGGTTCTGGGAAGGTTACAACATTTAAGAGTGTGTGTTTGTGTTCAAAGTGCCTGGCTGAAAGGTTAAAGGTGGTTTGGTGGTAGTTTACATTTTTATTGAACTATATGTACATTGGGTTTCTAGATGCATTGTCTAGGACAAGTAAAATATTGAAATCAGTCTTAGTAATTTAACTTAAAGCAGGAAGTGATGGGAGTACTACTAGACTTAAATCTCATGGTACCACTTCCATACCACCGGCAAATAATTTTGGCACGCATGGAGCTTTTGTATTTTCTAAATGATGGTGGCTTCAGTTTATCACTAGCAGCATTACCTCTATGCAATATGATTAATAAATGACATGTTGAAAAATCAGAAAGTTCTAAATTAAATTTTTCCTCTAAAAACAGGCCAGTCATAAAATGTGTGCACACATTGTGTCTAGTACTTTTGCCCAATTTCAGGACATCTGGTTTTGCCATTATCATTAACACTAGTAGCCTTGCTACTGTAAATTTGCTTTTGCCATGTAGTTATTAACCATTTACTGGTGTGCGTGTCAGAAGGTATTTTTAATACTCTTCTGAATCTCAATCTAATGTTTAAACTTTTGTCAGACATTTTCTTGCTTGTTGATTTTTATAATTAATGAACCCTTCACATACCTGTACTCTAAAATAAATGTCTCGTCTATGACAAGTAAAAAGATTGGGGCGCAGTTGAAGTCAAATGTGTGAATAAGTTTTCCAACTTTATTGCAAATAATGTTGCTTCTTCCTTGACGTTGGTACATCACAACACTTTCTCTTGTTTGGCCACATTAATCTCTGATGCACTTTGTTTATTGGGACATTCCCCATGTGCCGAAAATCATGTGTTCGCAATTTTTTTTTTATTTGTAAAATTATAAATTCCCTTCCCTGAACACGTACATGTAAAAAAAAAAAAAAAAACTAAAAAAATTCCACTTAAGATGTGGGGTCGTGGAGAAGGGGCCGTGTTTGCTGTGCACCCGTGTGTAAAGCTCCCAAGGGTGGTCACGCGGGCCATTCACACACTGCGAGTTGCCACAAATATATTTTCAATTATTTGTTCTATGTATTTCTAATGCAGCTTTATTTTATTATTTTTTTATCGTATACTAGCTGTACCCGGCCACACCAACCTTCCCCTGCCTCCTAGCCATTCCCCCCCTTCCACATCCTCTCGTCCTCCCAACCATTCCTCACTCCCCCGTCCCCTCTTCCTCCCTACTATTCCCCCTTCCCCCATCTCCTCGTCCTTCCTACCATTCCCTCCTCCCCACCATCCCTCACTCCCCTGTCCCCTTGTCCTACCCATCATTCTCCATTCCCCTGTCCCCTCATCCCCACCATCCCCAACTCCCGTCCCCTCGTCCTCCCCACCATTCTCCACTCCCTATTCTGATGCATTCCCAAATGATCTGATGTTCCCATCACTGAAATATAAGAAAAAGTTAGAAACGAAATGGAAAAACAATGAAAAAAAAACTCACTAAATGAACGGTATGATAAACACTACTCAATTCGAACTCAATGTCACAAAATAATTAAATCAAAATGAAAATAAATTGAAATCTGAAAATTCAATTTATCAATAAAATAAACATTGAAATGGAATCGTAACATTTAGTATAGCGTGTGTTCCTCTTACGTGCAACAGATGGCACAGTTTTACAATAAGAGCATGTTTTTCACCTGTCACAGATGAGGCATCTGTACTTGTACTCATGAAATAAACGGTATGGTAAAAACACAACTCCATTCCAATGCAATGTCACAAATTAAATGAAAATAAATCAATATGAAAATTAAATTTGTCAATGCAATCGGAAACATTGAAATGGAATCGTAACATATTTAGTATAGCATGTGTTGCTATTATGTGAAACATATCGTGCTGTTTTAAAAAAAAAAGTTTTCTCAGGTGTGGCATCTATATAGTAGGTATATAGACACGCATGTATTTGAATGGAATGTTGTCAAAATTTCAAAGCAATGGGTCAAGAACCTTCAGAGATTAGTGTGTTGCTCATACGTCCAACAGATGGCGCTGTTTTTTAAAAAAAAAACCAGTTTTCCTGTCACAGGTGAGGCATGTATATAGTAAGTATATAAAAACACGCGCCTATTCGAATGCAACAGTGTCAAAATGTTGAAGCAATTGGTAAAGAGGTTTCAAAGTTTTCCCTCACATGAAAAAGTTTTTGAAAACGTTTTTTTCCCGTCAGACGTGACATCTATATAGTACTATATAAAAACTCAATTGGATGCAAATGGAACGTTGTCAGAATTTCAAAGCGATCGGTGAAGAACTTACGGAGATTAGTGATTTTGAACAAACTAACATTTCCATTTTTATTTATATAGATTTGGCCGCAAAATGTGTCCCCGCCAGACATCGGTAAGATTATAAATGGACACAAATTGCGTTCCCTGCGGGCGAGTGTTAACATCTTTCCAACCTATTGATGCGCTTCCCGATATATGGGCACCATATAACTGCTGCATATTCCAACTAAATTGGAAAGCACAACTAGGCTCCTTGTACATGTGCTTTTATGATCCTCAGATGGTTTTTATTCAGGACCACCTGTAGATAATTCTTTGTCGGTTCTTTAAGAGACCTCACGTAATTTGTGTGGCTTACGTTTTCCTACTTCACTTCCACAATGTGGCATTTATTCACATTAAATTCAATCAGCCAAGTGTTGCTCCATACACTTTTCATGACAATCATATTAAGTTTATATCCCTTAGTAGATTGGCATCAGCAAACATGTTCATATTATTGCGTTCCTTTTGTTAGATCGTTCATATAACACGTTGCAATTGCTAAGCAGCTATTGATGAGCAATGGTGGTGGTTAAAAAAAAAATGAACTTTGTTAGCTTGGCTGATTTGTGTACTACTGCTTGAGGTGACAGCATAATATTACCAACAAATAGCAGCATTACCTGGTCCAGGCATGCTTTTTAAGGGGGCATATTTCGAAAATATGCTTTAAATGAAAACTGGTTCCATTTCAATCAAACTTTTTGACTAGTTGTATATAAAATTGGGTTCAACGGGTCCAAGTCTCAGCATCGTAGCATAAGTAGGAAGGGAGAAGAAAAAATTGTCATTTTCCAAAATGGTCAAAACAATCAAACACGTGTCGACTGAAATCATGTCTATGACTCTTAAGCTATCACAATAGCATATAATGAAGTATTTTATTATTTAGTTTTATGCATTTTTTTTATCAGCCAATTTACATGAAACTTGTACACCTTACAGCACGTAAGCCTATCTGTAAGTACACAAATTTTGGAGGAAATTGGCTGAAGTCAACTTCAACCGCTGGTGGCAGAATCTTTGATCTTATTTATTGTCAAATAACATAAAATTAGATCTTTCATTTTTTTTTTTTCAATTTACATGAAATTTACACCTTTTATGTAGTTTCTCAACAAACATTATAAAACACTTTATTCCCAAGTTCATTTATTGATTTTATAAACATTTGCAAACCTGAAATATTGGCATATATTTTTGGGGAACTTTGACTACTTGTATTGGTAAAACTAAACATACTTTGGATAATCCTTTAAAAAAAATCCTTTACTATATGCTTATATGATAGACGAGTGTCAAATTATTTCATTTGAAACTTGTGGTTGTAGATAATTATTGAAAATGTGTAAAATTCGTTGGGGGGGGAAAAAATCCCTCTTTCTATTTAGGGTGCGAAACTAAAATGTAGAACAGTTGCAGCCCTTCTTATATACAACTAGTAAAAAAAAAAAGTTTGGTTGACATTTAACAACATTTAAGAATCGCGTAATACTCCCTTAAGTTGCTAATCATCTGTACCACTTTCTTATGGAGGATTAGTTTCTTCTAAATTAGGCAGATTGCTGAAGAGCTACCTAGTCTGTTCTTGCACGAGCTGTTTTAATTTTTTTTAACATGTAGCTGAAAGCATAATGCCTTTTCCAATCTTTCTTGCAGATAAGGGCAAATAATGACTAAACTTTGTAGTTATTCTGGACAATTAAAATTGAAGTGTAGAGCCATATATATTTCTGTATTTAATGGTTCCAGAGAATATCAGGTTAATCCCATGGGATACTATACTTCAGAAAGTAATCATGAAAATTTAACACTAAATTTTAAAGGCCGATTTACACCTTTCATTTTTTTGCAATTTACCATATCAATTTTATCCCATTTAAAATAAAATTAATATGTTCCATCCAAGATATAAGCCATGCAATATAGCCTTTGTGTATTTGTAGGTCCTTGAATTGGCTGGTAATGCATCAAAGGATCTGAAAGTGAAGCGTATCACTCCCCGCCATCTACAGCTGGCTATTCGTGGTGACGAAGAATTGGATTCACTCATCAAGGCGACCATTGCTGGTGGTGGTGTTATTCCTCACATCCACAAGTCTCTCATTGGAAAGAAGGGCTCGCAGAAACCTGTATAAAAGGGCCAGTTAATATATATTTTGTCAACGTACTCTGCCCAGGGACTGACTACCATGGATGTGCAGTTGTTTGATGATGCTTGTATGTCTGTGGGTAAGGAGGTCCCTGAGAAAGGGGGAGGCCATTAAGGTTTTTGTTAATGAAGGTGGCCTGCCACCTTAATCATCCCCTCCCCCTCCTCCCCCAGTTACCTAACCCTGAAAGCCCGTGAGAGTTATTCTACCTCTAGGAAGGTATTTTGGACACTGCCTGAAAGATGTGAAGCTAGGTTGCAAGGGATCAAGTGGGGGTTGTTGCATCGCTCAAGGAGCTAGCCAGAAATGGTAGTTTAGAGCGTTGCAACTAAAAGTTTCATGTTTTTTCCAACTATTACTCTCAATAATAACTTTTAAAATTTGTTCAACTGGATGCTAGTTTTATCAGAGGTTTTATTTTGTTCAGTTTTGATTAGGAACATTGGGGGAATGCTTTCCTCCTTCCTATGATTTAAAAAAGTGTCGTGTATTACTTAAAAGTACAATTTTCAATGTTTTGATAATGTGTAGAGTAAGTATCACTATACATATTGTAATTAGTGCATTCTCTACAATATAATGTATATTCATTTTTTAAGAATGGTATTTTCTTTTCATTCCTGATACTAGTTTACTCATTATTGTGGAAAAAATAGAACTATTTGTATTCAAAGATTGATAAATGCTGAATGTAAAATGCAGGAGTAACTTATGGCTAGGCAGGTGGCGACTGGGACGAGGCTGGCTGCTAGATAAGCTCTTAATGGCTAGTTTATACAAGGTTCATGAATATTTGGCAAGTAATTTAACTTGCAGCAGTTAACTGTGAATAAATTTAGCTTTTCTTTAGTTACTCATGGTGTTGTCTTGCCAATACCAAAGGATTGATATTTTACTTTGGACTGAGTTGGCCAAATGTTTTCAGATGTGGATGTATGGTTTTTGAAAATCTTAGTGTATTTGGTGCTGAAGTTAACTTTAGCGGATGTTTATGTAAACAAAGTTTGGCTTGGGGATCAATTACCTTGTCCATAATGTGTAATTTCTTGGGCCAATGTGTACTTTGTGGTGAGATTTAAAAAGGAAGGGGTTTCTCACTTGTTAGGGAAGGCACAGTACCTTAAAAGAATGGGGAAAAATATACAAAAGAGGGATAAAGATGTTTTGTGACACCATCTTACATTACTGTCTTTCATTATTGGCAATGGCACAAACTACAGTACTGTAGTACCACTAGTAAAACTTGCACACTAAGTACTAAATAGCTAGATATGACGAATGACATTGCATTGTATATTGTAAACCATGAAATATTTGAAAGCAGAACTTAAATGCATAAAAAAGATACAAAAGGACTGGTCTTACATTGCATCCTAAGTAAAATATTGATATGCAGAGGCACAAGTTATGTAGTTTATTGTTAAGTGATGGAAAAGTCACTTGATCCAAATGTGTACTACTGGATCCTTGTATGATTAAGCTGCTCTCACATGTGGTGAAAATGGCCCTAGTCCAAACATGTGGGTCAGTGAGGTGTCCCACTGTTGTCCTTCCGGTGATCAGGAACAATAAAAGGAACTGCAGGCCTATTTGACCTTGCTGAGGCAACAGCTGTTTATACCTAACAAAGTTTTCGTTAATTTTATTTCTTTGTGCACCTTGTACCCATCCGGTGGGTGGAGAGGGTTAAGAGGCACATAATCGGTTCAGGAACATGAAACAGACAATGTGTACTGGCCCTTGCAAACCAGTTTTTTCACATCAGCACAAGAATAGTGTCTACAGAAGACCTTTTGCAAATTGTGTGTTCCTAAATATTATAAAGATAATGTATTCCATATTTTTGTAAATTTTGTACACAAATCTAGTTATTCAACACATTTGCTCATGTGCATTAAACAAGTGATGTAGAAGCATCCAAGGTGATTAGTCATCTGGCATATACAGCTGTCTGAATCGTGTATCTGGTGATGACATTTGGAAAATATCTACAGCTCGCCAAACCATTAAAATGTAGGTATTTATTTCATTTCCACTTTTCCATATATTATGCATCCAAATTCTGATTGAAAGGTTGAAATTCAAGGGGTCCCGGTAGTACAGTTGAGTTTGTTCTCGATGCAGAATTGAGAATTCCGGGTTTGAATCCCAGGCGGGATAGAAATGGTTGGACACATTTCCTTTCACCTAATGCCTATGTACATCTAGCAGTAAGTAGGTACCCAGGAGTAAGCAAGCTTGTCGGGTTGCATCCTGGGGGAGGGGGGCTCGATAAAAGCCAAACGTGCATGAAACACTGGTTTGTTTTCCCCCAACACGATGAATAATTATCTATAAAGCAAAAAGTGTTAATTTTATTTTTACTTCTGATAGTCCCTGTGGTGCAGTGGTAAGATGCTGGCCCCATGGTTTGCAAGTGGTTGGGTCTGGGTTCATGTCCTGGCCCTGGAGGGTTGACTGGGTGCCAATCCTTAACTGTAGCCTCTGTTCACCCAGCAGTGAATGGGTACCTGGTTAAACAATTGGTTGGGTTGTATTCCAAGGAAAATTAAGATTAAGGCCCTGCCAAAACACACACAATGGTGGCTTTACAAGAATGTAAGAACTTGTATGTATAAATAATAATAATAAGTGGGTGGAGATGCACTATAAAGGGTAAGATTGTTTTACAGATTTAAAGCTCTTAAAGTATAACCACAAATGTGACTAATTGAAGCTATTTGTGTGCTATCTAGACTCTACGAAGGGTTTACCCCAGCTTTGATGAGGGTCTTGCGTAGGGTGCCCCATGGCTGGTGGGACTTAACCTTTGACCCCCTCTCTGGGCATATATGTGCAGGGGAAACTACATAGAGTACTTGTTAGACCATCTGAGGTAGGTTTGGGTTCCTGGGTGGGGGCACCCAGAAGGGAAAGGGGCTTTGTACCAGTGTTTGAGAAAGTTGGATGTAGTAGAACATGGTCATGTTTAAAAGAGGTAGCAGTGGACCATTACAGACTGGAATAGACCAAAATGTACTTTCTCCATTTTCTGAGGTGTGATTTCATCATATTTTCAGCCACGTTATTGTGACATCGTCTGCACAGGTAGGATTGCTTGGAATAAAACTTTCTGCACCAGTGCCTTCCTTTGTCTTGAAAGAAAGTTTGATGTAGTAGGCTCTGGCTCTGGGACCCATGCTATGAAACTGAATACATATAGTAAACCAACCAGTATAGTGTCCTGTACAAACTGTACTGTGTACAGTCTGTCCTATGTACAGTCTCATGTATACAGACTACTGTGTACAGTCTGTCCCACAAATCCCATGCATCCACCTAATTTTCTTCCAGTGGGTTATTAAAGTATTTATCCTTAATTAAAATAACTGAAATATTGCAACCCAAATTTTTATTTTTATAAAAGTATATACTGTAGAAGCATAAAATGTGATGGCACATATGCACACTTGATCATTAACTCAAGAGTGAATGCATGTTCAGTATATATTTGAAACAACCCTTAAATTCCATATTTAAAGGCTGCTGTGACAAATGAATTACTGAACTAATTTTCTTGAAAGTAGATCAGTCTGAAACATGTTCCTTTGAGGAAAGCCAGAAAGAGGTCCAACGTAGAAAGAGAACGAAGACGTCACTACAAAAGAAGAAAAATTAATGAAAATGCTGAAGCAGACACGACTTTCTATATAAAGGAGGAATAATTTAAACGGGAGATTGAAGAAATCGAATAGACTGAAGCATTCATATCGGATTGAAGAAAGGCAACTAGAACAGAAAGCAATTCATGAAATAAAGAAAAACCCAAAATATTAATTCACATGCTAAATTAAAAGCAAAAACTACTGCCAGTCTTGGGCCTATCAGTACTAGTGAAGGTTCATATACCGAGGATGACAAAGAAATTAGCGAAATCCTAAAAAAGCAGTATGAGGACATGGTTAGTACCCCGATACACAGCATGAAAGTGGAAGATCTGGACAACTTTATGCGTGATATCCAAACCCCTGTAAATATAACCGGCATCAACATGAGTGTGGCAGATTTTGAAAGAGAAATTGACAATATGCCCATGCACTCGGCCCTGGGTCCAGACTCGTGGAATTCAATATTTATAAAGAAATGCCAAGTGCCAGTAGCACAGGTACTCGGTATAGTGTGGAGGAAGAGCTTGGACACGGGAGATACCAGATCGCTTAATTAAAGCAGCAGATATAGCCTCTGTACACAAGAGAGGTAACAAAGCATTGGCAAAGAATTATAGACCAGTTGCACTAACATACCACATAATAAAAGTATTTGAGAGAGTGATCAGGAGTTAGGTCACTAGTTTCATGGAGACTAATGACCTCCACAATCCAGGCCAACATGGTTTTAGAGCAGGAAGATCATGCCTCACAGCTACTTGACCATTACGACAAAATCACTGAGACATTAGAAGAAAAACAATGCAGATGTGGTATACACAGATTTTGCAAAGGCATTCAATAAATGTGACCATGTGATAGCATACAAAATGAGGTCAATGGGAATAACTGGTAAAGTAGGACGCTGGATACTCGGTTTTCTGTCGAACAGAACACAGAGGGTAACAGTCAACCATATAAAACAGAGTCCAAGCGCAGTTAAAAGCTCAGTACCTCAAGGTACAGTCCTTGCACCACTGTTTTTCCTTATTCTCATATCATATATAGACTCAAATATAAGGCACAGCTTCGTATCATCTTTTGCAGATGACAAAAATCAGCATGAAAATTACCTCTGCTGATGATATTGAAAAACTACAAGCAGATATTAATACAGTTTTTGACTGAGCAGCAGAAAATAACATGTTTAACAGCGATAAATTCCAGGTACTGTACTCAGATACAGTAAAAATGAGAACCTTAAACATAATACAGGGTACAAAACACAGTCAAATTTGCCCATAGTGGGAAAGCAACATGTAAAGGATTTGGGAATAATGATGTCTGACGACCTAAATTTTAGGGAGCATAACCAAGCAAATATTGCAGCAGCCAGGAAAATGATGGGATGGATTACAAGAACTTTCAAATCCAGGGATCCCGTCAGAATGGATGTACTGTACTCTTCAAATCACTTGTGCTGTCCTGTCTTGAGTACTGATCAGTACTCACTTCCCACCTCAGAACGGGAGAGATTGCTGAAATAGAGGGAGTACAGAGAACATATACGGGATTCATAAACGAGATAAAGCATTAAATTATTTGGATTGTCTCAAGTTCTCCAAATGTACTCGCTAGAAAGACGACGGGAGAGATATCAAATAATATACACGTGGAAAATACTGGAGGGCCAGGTCCCAAATCTGCACAGTAAAATAACATACTGGAGTGAACGATATGGAAGAAAATGCAGAATAGAACCAGTGAAGAGCAGGGGTGCCATAGGCACAATTATAGAGAACTGTATAAACATCAGAGGTCCACAGTTGTTTAACATACTCCCAGTGAGCATAAGAAATATTGCTGGAACAATAGTGGACATCTTCAAGAGTAAACTAGATACAGTAGTTTCCTTCAAGTAGTGCCGGACCAACCAGGCTGTGGTGGGTATGTGGGCCTGCGGGCCGCTCCA